CAATTGATGACGCGAATGGAGCCCCCTGCTACAAACTCTACAATTCTTGCTATGAGGACTCCCAGGGCCTAAATGGCGTCGCCATCGTGATAGACAACAAACTGGTGAATCACGTCATGGAATGGAAGCCCGTGAACGCTAGGCTTTGCTACATGAGAATACATGCCTCACAAATCCCCCTATCATTGATCTGTGCCAATGCATCAACAGAGGACGCAGACGCAGACATCAAAGAGGCATTCTATAATGATATCACGAACCTGATTCAAGATGTCAACAAAAAAGACATCGCTATTATCGGAGAGGACATGAACGCAAAACTTGGTACAGCGCACCCAGATGAAAAATCTCATATTGGACGCTTCAGTACGGGAACCGGAACGCAAACGGTGAACTACTAGCCAATTTTGCTGTGACATATAACATAACAATATCAAATACAACATTTCAAAAGAAAAAACAATCATATCCCACCTGGCACTTGAATGATGGCAGGACGAAGAACCAAATCGACCTCCTTGTAGTCCCCAAAAGATGAAGGACATCTATAACTGACTGTAAGACCATCCGAAACGAGGTGGCACTAGACTCCGACCACCAGATGGTGGCAGCAACACTCAAAATCAAACTGAAAAGATACACTAAAAGAGTAAGAACCCTGAGACTCGACCTGAACAAATTGAAGGACCCAACAGTACGTAGAAAATACCAGAACGAGTTGAAAAAATTGCTGCCAAATGAGGCCCAGGAAGAAAATTATGACCAATACTGGACCAAACTGAAGTCAGCAATGCAAGAAGCCGCCGAAAAGAGCATCGACAAACCCCAAACGCGCCGTAGTGCCTGGATCTCGGCTGAAACCTTACAGCTTGTCAAAAAACGAAGCCGTTGTCGGTCTAAGCAAACCCTTGCCACCCTGAGAAAAGAGATAAAAAAGGCAGTTAGAAGGGACAAAGCCCGGTATTACGAGGCACTCGCAGATCTCGAAAGCTCGAAAAATGGGCTAAACACTTTGAACGCCTCTTGAACCGACCCCCATCGCAACGCGCAACAATTACCCACAGTGCGGACAAACCTCTAGCACTCGTCAGGGCAGACAGAGCAACAAAAGACGAAAAATTAGAGTCGCAATCGGCAAGCTGAAGTTGAGGAAAGCTTCTGGAGATGACAACCTGCGATCAGAACTATTCTCATATGGTCTTCCCGAACTTGTCGATTGCCTCCATACCATCCTAAGTAAAATATCGAACTCAAAGACCGTCCCAAATGACTGGAAAAACGCGTTGATTATACCTGTACATAAAAAAGGTGACTTCAAGAAATGCTCTAACTACCGAGGCATTTAATTACTGAACATTGCTTCCAGAACCTACAATTTAAAAAATGTGCTTAACCGTTCTCAACTCAAGTAAGGTTTTCTTTCAATGTCTAGACCACAAACAATATGAGCGACCTTTTTCAAATGCTCGAGCAAAATAACCACTGGAAAAAATGTATGTATGTGTATGTATGTATGTATGTATGTATGTATGTATGTATGTATGTATGTATGTATGTATGTATGTATGTATGTGTGTGTATGTATGTATGTATGTATGTATGTATGTACGTATGAATGTATGTATTAATGTAAGTATGTTTGTATCTATGTGTATAGATGTATGTATGTATTTTTGTAAATATCTATGTATGTACGTATGTACATATGTATGTATATATGAATGTATGTTTGTATGTATGTATGTGTGTTTGTGTGTATGTATGTGTGTATGTATGTGTGTGTATGTATGTATGTATGTATGTATGTATGTATGTATGTATGTATGTATGTATGTATGTATGTATGTAGGTATGTATGTTTGTATGTATGTATGTAGTAACGCAGCAACATTTGCTAATTGCCAAATAGATGCAGCAAAATCAATCGAAACCGCTCAAACCGCTCATTTTAAAGCAAGATGTTGAGCGCAATCGTCTAAAAAACCGCTCGAACTGCTAAAATCTTTTAAGTTTTGAGCTTATGTACAGTCTTCGGTTTCCGTCGGGGGACCTGCTGCTGTTGACCTTGTGATCGCTATTGTCTGGCGTACACTGAAACAGATGAGTGCGGTAATTTAGGTAATTTGAACAATAGAGTTTCCTCTTGAATTCAAAGTTATTTGCTCGCCGTCGGTATCTACATCATGGCGCAGCCAGCTGAAGGAAAAGTGGGGGAAAACCCACTGAATATATTGTCGTTTTGGGAAGCGCGCACTCCGGAGCCGCCAATATGCTGGGAGGAGTGGATAATTAAATTCCACTGGGGACTGATTGCTAAGTATGATATAGATCCAGATGATTTTTACTTCGTTGCTACCTTGGATGCCACGGCGATTGCAGCGCTACCTGGGGATGTGAACAGGAAGAATTGCTTAGAGTCGGAGAAAAAGTTGAAATCAAAGCTGTATCTTTGCATCGGAAATGAAGCGCAAAAAATCTTTAAGCCTCGTAAGCTGGCGGTTAGTTTTAAAATGGAGCAATACCCGCGTGTTCTAGATGAGATGCAGAATGTTTTTAAACGAGAGCGAAACGTTATACACGAGTGAGGGTTATTTTACGGAAAAAAGCAAAGAGATAACGAAACATTTGAGAAACTTAATGCAGAGCTTAATGCCTTGGCCGGGAGATGCGACTTCGCTAACGCCGCTGAAAATATTCGGAACATTTTCATCATGAACATGCAAGAGTCCGATTGTCAACGAGAGTTGTCCCGATCTACCTAGTCGCCAGAGGAAGTATATCGAATCGTTTTAGCCTATGAGAGGAGAGAGCGCGCCTATAAATCGTATACGAGAAAGCCGGCCACGTCAGCAGCGCACATGACTATAAAGCAGGAGCCGGTTAGCAATATTAGGAGAGGCCAAGGATGTTTCCGAAACAGAGGGCGCGGGGGACGCGGGGGACGCGGAGGATACACACCGGGGCAAACAGTACCCGAACCGAAAACCGTCGGTGCTAATATTGTGATGCAACAAATTTCATACGTTTGGCGAAAGGCATAACTTAAAACGCATGCCGAAAAGTAAGGCATTTCGAGCGAACATGTAGGGGCGTGAGAGGTGGAACTAACCATTGGGGGGAAGAAGACGACTAGGTCTAGTTCGGGATGAGAATGAGCATCATCGAAGCACACACAGCGTAGACAACAACAAAATACTGGAGGAGCAAGTAGCATGGGTCAACCAGCAACAAGAATGCGGTGAGGAGATATTTACCTTCTCAGGGTCCGACGATTGCATGGTGAAGTCAACCAATAAAAAGAACGCGGTGAAGCTGAAAAGTGCGAGTGCCAGAATCCAAGTGGAGGTTTCGGGAAAGAAGATGTGGCTCTGGGTCGATATTGGGTCCCCGGTTACAATCTTAAGCATGACTGATCTGAAATCAACACTGGGTAAAACAAACCTACATTTACAACCAACACTAGAAGCAATTTTAGACTACAACAACATTTGGATACACATACTGGGGAAGATAGCGGTGACAATGGCGCTCAACAGATAGGTGACACCGGCGCAGGTGTCTGTAATTGCAGGAAACTACAAATCAATCCTTGGGCGCGATTTGATGGGCACCCAAGTACTGGAGCTAGAACAAAGAAGACGAGTCATGGGAATTACGGGAAAAGATAGCAGCGATAGTGCAGAGGGGCTAGACGGATTACAAATATACTTCTATAACTTGTATCCAAACTTTTTACAAGAATAGGGAAAATACAGAACGCTCATGTAAGAGTCGAATTTTTTGACGCGTTAAAACCCATAAAACAAAAACGCTGAAAGGTACCGATCAAGCTCCAAGATAAAGTGGACAAAGTATAGATCGGCTAATCAAAGAAGGACACATTATCAAGCTACTAGAAGGTTTGGACAAGAATTTCGTGTCCCCAATCGTAATCACAGTTAAGAAGGACCGACGTATGAAACTCGCATTGGATTCTAGGGAACTGAACAAAAAAGTACATAAAAATAAGTACAAGATGCTCGAAATTGATGAACTAGTAGACGGGATAAGTCAAATAATTGCAGAGCCGAAAGCCTGTGATGTCTATTTTACTACACTGGGTTTTACGTATCCATACGGGCCAGTAGCATTAGATCAAAAGATCAGCGAACACTTTAATTTCTCATTAGTAGGGGGAAAATCGACGGTGACATACAGCTTTAAGAACGGCTTTTACGGGCTAACTTCAATGTCGGCGGAGTTTCAGAAAGTTATAGATACCTTACTCAAGAAATTCCCACAAGGGAATGCATTCATAAATGACATCTTAGTCGTATTGAAGGGAACTAAAATAGAACACATTGCATTAGAAGAAAAAAATCTTGAAACACTGGAACTATTAGTAGAGAAAATTCTTAAAGAACTGAACACCGCCCTGAAGTTACGGAAATGCGAACTTGCAAAACTAAAAGTGAATGGCTAAATGTTTGAATCGGAAAAGACGGCATTACACCGTTGGTTCGAAAAACCCAAGGAGTTGAAGATTTAAAAGATTTAAAAACTCCCCAAGTCAAGAAAACAGTTGAAGTCACTAACGGGCTCACTACACAGCTTACATAAGTTTTTACCTAAACTTGCAGAAGTTAGTTCGCCTCTCCGTCCGTTATTGAGTTTAAATAATGAATTCATTTGGACGCAGGCATGCGCCAACGCTTTTCAACAGTTAAATTGGTTAATTACGAAAATTGTCGAACTCAAACACTACGATATACACCGGGAAACAAGAATAGTCGGCGACGCTAGTCGTGACAGTTTGGAAGCCGTGTTAGAGCAGTACGGTTCAATTTCATTTGCGTCACGATATAATAATACGGCAGAAAGCAAAATGGAAGAACGAACTCGAATTACTCGAAGTAGTATGGGCCACGGCGCATTTTCACAATTACTTTTACGGGCGCTATTTTACAATTATATTGGACCATAAAGCAATAATAACTCTGTTAAACTCGTCTCCGAAAGGAAATAAAACATTTTTCACTAGACTAACCCGATGGTATGATCGTTTAATACCGTATGATTTTAAAATTGAACATCGCCAAGGATCAAAATGGGGATAGTGTATTACTTATCACGTTTTCCGTCGGCAGCGGCACCAGAGACAAGCCATTATGACGAAAATTTTACTGTAGCAAGAGTACGAATGATTAATGAGGCATTTTATCCTCGGGACCAATTAAATCCTAGGAGCCAAACAGTGAATAAATTTCAAGAGAAACCGGGGGTTGAGGGCGTCTGAACATGAGTTTACTCAAGCGAGAGTTTCACATCGAATAGCAATCGACGAAAATTTGAAAATGCAATTGCGAGACAGAAGTATGAACGTTCACAAGAGGGCGTGGTTGCATGCAGCCGGCGATCAGCCAATCAGAACAAAAACAAGATACTTGCATATCGAAGGATATATGCCAATTGCGCTCTAAAAAAATAGACGCTGTTATCAGTCAGCTAAATGCAGTACTTCATCAAACAAAATTATAAATTTTCAAATACTAACATGTCTGCTACCGGAGAAATCAGATGCGAAACTTTCTAGCATTGTAAATACGTCAACTCAATCTGGAAATGTTAATCTTGATATTTTCAAAACCGGGTACTAAATCAACCGCCTAGTCCAAGTTCTGATTCTGACATTGAATTATACCCCCAGAAAAAGTACCGCTCAAAACTAATACCTCGAAAAAGTTAAATACAATTATATCGTTCCCTCACCAGTTTCCTAGTCTCTTTTATCCCCTTGTAAATAGCGAAAAGTCCCTCTACTCTATCATTTCCACAGACAGTAAAATCTCCAAGAAGATCGAATTTCCTGAAATCTTAAATCTGAAACTTGTGGAGGCCAATCTAGAGAAAGACCCCATTTTGAAGACAATTAGAGATGCCAAGAAGTAATCTTGCCAATTTTGAAGACAAGAAGTAATCACCAAGCTCGGCAATATTGTGCACAACACTACAATGATTTCGCAGTACGAGAAAACTGCCTCTGGATGGACGACCGGTTGGCGATACGGCAGGATTTGTCGACGTCCATTCTAAACAGAGTGCATTACAATCATCACGGGCGGGACAAGACGTTCGCGGCGGCGAAAATGGTTTGGATCCCATTAATACATCGTAACTTTTGGGCCACCGCTAAAATGTGCCAGCACTGCTTGGAAGCAGGTAAAACTCTTAAACCTGACATACCTAAAAGTGATATAGGTAAAATATATAAGCCAAAGGAACCGAACGATTTGGTCCAACTGGGTTTTTGGGGCCCTGTAAACTACATAAAAGGGCGGAAGAAAAATGTCTTAATAGCTGTAGACGCTTTTTCGCATTGGCCTTCGGCCTAAGTTTGCTCAAGTAACAATTGAAAAAATGTCCTAAGGTTCCTACGGAAATATACAAATACATATGGGCACCCAAGGAAACTACATATGGACCAAGCGTCCCATTTCTTTTCAAACAAAATTCTAAATTTCTGCAACTACGAGGGAATTGAGCTAATATAAATTCCGGTAAGAGATTGCCGCGCGACTGGTTTGGTTGAAAGAGCGATCGGTTCAATAAAAAAATATATTTAACGTACTTATGGGAAGACGAAAATAAAAAAAATCAAGAAATTGATGGCCAGGCCACTGAGCATTTTACGATTTGTACAGCATTCTGAAACTAAAATAAGCTATTTTAGTCACACCATGGAAAATAAGCTAACACTGTTCTCCGAAATCTTACGAAAAAACCATCAATAAAAAATCTCGACTGGAGGAATTTAATTAACCAAAAACTCCAATGTTTAGATGAGGCGAACGGGCTCCCTTGTGTTGAGTTAAACCTGGTTTGGGAGAAGTGCAGTAGCCTAGTGTATACTCCCCAGAAGCGGAAGACCCCTCTAGTTTTAGAGGAGCATACACTGGCAGAGGCAGACGTAGAGTTAACACATCCAATCGCACCATCGTGGCTCAAACTGCATAAAACCAGTACTTCAGTCGTGTACCAACAAACTGGCGTCACGGATCTAAAGGAACCAAGGAGGTATAAACGTTTATCTTCTACCATAGAAAAATTAACACCACATACGGTCCAAATGAAATCGACGGAAATTTGAATATGCAATTGCGAGACAGAAGTATGAACGTTCACAAGAGGGCGTGGTTGCATGCAGCCTGCGATCAGCCAATCAGAAAAAAAACAAGATACTTGCATATCGAAGGATATATGCAAATTGCGCTCTAAAAAAATAGACGCTGTTCTCAGTCAGCTAAATGCAGTTACTTCATCAAACAAAATTATAAATTTTCAAATACTAACATGTCTGCTACCAACGCGCCGGAGAAATCAGATGCGAAACTTTCTAGCATTGTAAAAACGTCAACTCAATCTGGAAATGTTAATCTTGATATTTTCAGAACCGGGTACTAAATCAACCGCCTAGTCCAAGTTCCGATTCGGACATTGAAGTTATACCCCCAGAAAAAAGTACCGCTCAAAACTAACACCTCGAAAAAGTTAAACACAATTATATCGTTCCCTCACCATTTTCCTGGTCTCTTTTATCCCCTTGTAAATAGCGAAAAGTGCGTCTACTCTATCATTTCCACAGACAGTAAAATCGTCATGAAGCTCGAATTTCCTGAAATCTGAAACTTGTTGAGGCCAATCTAGAGAAAGACCCAATTTTGATGACAATTAGAGATGCCAAGAAGTAATCACCAAGTAATTTTGCCAATTTTGAAGACAAGAAGTAATCACCAAGCTCGGCAATATTGTGCACAACACTACAACGATTTCTCAGTACGAGAAAACTGCCTCTGGATGGACGACCGGTTGGCGATACCGCAGGATTTGTCGACGTCCATTCTAAACAGTGCATTACAATCATCACGGGCGGGACAAGACGTTCGCGGCGGCGAAAATGGTTTGGATCCCATTAATACATCGTAACTTTTGGGCCACCGCTAAAATCTGCCAGCACTGCTCGGAAGCAGGTAAAACTCCTAAGCCGGACATACCTTAAAGTGATAAAGGTAAAACAGATATGCCAAAGGAACCGAGCGATTTGGTCCAACTGGGTTTTTGGGGCCCTGTAAACTACATAAAAGGGCGGAAGAAAACTGTCTTAATAGCTGTAGATGCTTTTTCGCATTGGCCTTCGGCCTAAGTTTGCTCAAGTAACAATTCAAAAAATGTCCTAAGGTTCCTACGGAAATATACAAATACATATGGGCACCCAAGGAAACTACATATGGACCAAGCGTCCCGATTCTTTTCAAATAAAATTCTAAAATTTTAACACTGGCAGAGGCGGACGTAGAGTTAACACATCCGATCGCACCATCGTGGCTCAAACTGCATAAAACCAGTACTTCAGTCGTGTACCAACAAACTGGCGTCACGGATCTAAAGGAACCAAGGAGGTATAAACGTTTATCTTCTACCATAGAAAAATTAACACCACATGCGGTCCAAATGAAAAAAGGATCCTCACTAAGGCGAAGCGGTGTTTCTTTCAGATCAGCGTTAGAAGAAAAGCAAATAGCATCGAAGGCGGCCAAAGGCCCCAGCTCAGAACACTCCAGGGCCAAGTAAAATTGGAGTCAGAAATGTTATCAGCAGAAAAGTGATATCTGGGACTTCAAGGTGATTCCGGAGTACCTGGCTGTCCGGAAAGGAATGCTAGCTGACGAATTCTTAGAAGACAGTCCTAAATGAGTCTCGAAAATGAAAGATTTCCCCCTTCTTTTTCGAAAGTCTCTGGATTTTTCATTACTTGGAACAAAAACATGCCTGAAACCCCTAAAAACCTTGTTCACATAAGTTTGCAGTACGCTGGAAAGCGTTTCTGCCAATATGGGCTTCTCTTTTAAAAAATGGGGTTTTTTCTATCGCTCTCTGTAACAGCATTTTTGTGCATGACTTTTTTTTCGTTTTCACGAATACCTGCAGGCTACCCTAGATAGCTTAATGAGCTCAAAGTTCATTCATGAGTCAATCCAGTCAAGTTAACGACTGGTTTGGCATCAGTTTCCGGAAAAATGCTATTTACTCTAGCTAACTTGTCATGTCAACTCTGGTACTTCTGATGATTTTCCCCCTTTTTTCGAAAGTGTCTTGGTTTTTCTATAGTTGGAACAAAAACATATGCCTCTGAATCTCGAAATGATAAGTCTGATCATACTGATAGTTTTTCGAAAACAAAAATTCAAAGATAAATTTTTAATTAAGTGAGCTTTAACTTGAATTAATTAGACATAGGTGTATGTACAGAAACTATACGTTTGGCCAATTATTAGGAAATTGTATTCATAGAATATAATCACGATAGAAAAATAAAAATTTGCAGTGCACTGCACATGCATACTATATTTTACACTGTACGACAATAACGAAACTGTTCATTTTTTGCATTATTAGTTTCTACTAGTTAAATAACTCCGGGAAAGTTCAAGGTTGTTTGAGGTCATGTTTTGATTGTCTGCTTTCAGTGAGGGATAGTTGCGTGTCGCGTTTTGTGATGGATTGGATAGTGCCTAAAAGCTTCTCCCTCAGACGGGGTGATTTCGAGTTCGGTGCGGTTGGCATGGAGACTTCGGGTAGATTGCAACTGTCCTCTGAGATACAAACAAACTCGTTGTTGCTTCCCGTCACCGTAAGGGATGATGTTTTGGCGCGAGGAAAATCTGTGGCCGACTTTCTTGAACTCTGTTTAACATTGAACATTTTTCAAGCATTAGCAATTAAGGTTGATACATTTTTCATGTTTGAAATAATCGGGAAAATGTCGAAAGACACTAGCTTAAGCAAGATTGCTCGTATATCAGGGCAAAGCCCTGAATAATTCCACAGTACCTTAATTCATATCGAAAAGTTTTTGGGAAAAGAAAATCTTGAAAACCTATACATTTTGGACAATATCGAAGTGTAAAATTTTGAGTCGTACAAAATTAATACGACCAATTAGCCTCAGTTCAATGTGGAACGATTTTGTTGTGCGGGATAGATCACCATGCATAAATAATTCGCGTTACGCTCTCAGCATTATGAATAAACTCTTCAAAACGCGCATAATTTAGTCCAGAACATAGCAAATTTGGCAATTTTCAAACCCCCAGTCTTTACTAAAAATAATCGGAGTGAACTATTTTTTTTACATTTGAACTCAGGAATACGATATCTTCAATGGGGTATAAAAAATTTGAAGCTCTGAATATGTCGATAAATTGTTCAGAAATTGGAGCAAAAAAGAAATCATTGTCCCGACTTTCGTAACGAAAGTAACGGAATGTTTGTGCTCGGAGTGGGTTTCTTCAGACCCACTTTTGTTCTTCAGACGGAAGTGGGTTTCTTCAGACGGATTTTTTTAACTAACCATTTTTAACTTTTTAAAAAGACTATTTAACTAACCATTTTTGACGGAATTTTTTAAATATCATTCAAACGGTATTGTTGTCTTGAGCTTAAATTTGAAAATTTTGATCATTTTTGTAAAATTATGGGGGTTTAAAAATTGCCATTTTTGCCAATTTGGGACAATTAACGCGCGATATATTTCGCGCTATTAATGCGTGAGCATAGATTTAATCCTATTTAGAAAACGTTCCAAATTGGTTGGAGAAAGCTCGTTGTTCCGACTTTCGAAGAAAACGGAATATTTATGCTTGGTATGGTTTTTTTTAAACAGTCAATTTTCGCCGATCGAAATAATAGTTTTCAACAAAATTTTTTTAAAAACCCTGTAAACATATCGACTTCCTGAGTTCAAATTCAAAAAGATATTTTACCTCTGGTTTTTGTAAAACTTCAGAATTGAAAATTGCCAAATCGGCCATGTTCTGGACTAAATTAGGCGCGCTTTGAAGAGTTTATTCATAATGCTGAATCCGTAACGCGAATTGTTTATGCGTGACAAAGTATCTCGCTCAACAAAACTGATCCAAATTGAATTGAGGCTAGCTAATTGGTCGTATTATTTTCGTACGACTCAAAATTTCACACTTTGATTTTGTCCAAAATTTATAGGTTTTCAATATTTTCCTTCCCAAAAACTATTCGATATGAATTAAGGGACAGTCGGAACATTCTGGGCTTTGCCAAATAGCCCAAAAAATCAATCAACCCTATTTTTATCAGAAAATTAGTCACTTATTAAGGCTATTTGCATTTGCTTATCGGCACAAACTTATCGCTACGTCACACACAAGGTAAGCAGATTTTAGGCGTGGTTTTGTACTACTTCTTAAGTTCCGGCCTTCACATATGTGAAGGCTAAATGCTACGAATATTCGCAAACAGTAAAGAGAGACGAATCATGTAAAGTAGTCATGTTTAGGGAAGAAACAAATAACTAGAACCAAAATTGTCCAGTCAATGAAAGCTAGAATTATAAAAGTTTTTAAAATAAAAATTTATACAAAAAATTCAGGGGGGAAATAATGCTATCTTACGCAAAAATGTTAGGCAGAAATGGCAAAACTTAAGCGGTAGACAATGTGGCGGAACATTTGAAACGAATTCAGACCAGAAAAAATGCTAACGACATCCATGTATTACGCAGTCTCCTCACGCGGAATGTTACTTTTCTCAAAAACAGGCGTGCCGCGTTTGCAAAATTCCGTATACTTCTTAGAAAAATGTCCAAAAGTATTGAGGAAAGTCAGCAAGACTAGTCAAAGATCGGAACTCGCAGGAAAGCCTTTTTTGTTTAACCATTGAAATGTGCTTTAATTTATAATAACCAAAATTAATAATCGCAATGGGTTGAGTGTTATATTATCATATTCAAGCCCTTTCAGAACTGATTCGAACTCTTGAAATTCAAAAAGTGTTTCCAGTGTCGAGAACTTCCGCTTTGGAATGTTTTGGAGTTCTCACCAAATTTTGAGCGACTAAGGAGATCGTGACATTGTTATAGTTTTATAACAGTCCAAACCTTATAATTCAAATTGGGCCCTAAAATTTGGTTTTTAAAAGAAAAGTGAGCTTAAACACATAATTTAGCATTATGATCGACTAATTTGCTTACAATTTAAGATTGCGTTCAAGTCTTTTTGTCATACCACGAATAAAAAAAACTGATTGAAACGAAGGAAACTTTTTTTTTAGTTTTCTCATTATTATGATTTTTTTAAATTTTTTGCTACTTCCACCGCAACCGGTCATCCTTGTTGTTCCGACCACTTAAACAATGCGCAGGATTTGCATTCGGGTATTTTAGTTTTTTCTTTTTGTTTTTTTTCTCCACTCAAAAACAGGTACCACAAAACAATCAATGTGAATAGGTCGAGTGATATATCACATTGAAGCCCTTTCAGTCGTAATTCGAATTTTCAACCAAATTTCTCAGTATCAAGAAAACTGGTTTAAAACTTTAGAGCGAAAACAGCAAACTAGCAGGCTTAACTACGCTGAATTGAATTTAAGCCCTGAAAACTTAGTGGAAAAGTTATATATTTCTTTGTTTTTCTTCATTTTCCTCCAAAAATTTTTGGTCCAATTTGCATATATTGCTATGACTTTTAAATACGCCTAAATTATAGTTTTACGTCAGATCTTTTTTATCACACCACGCAAAAAAATCACTTATTTGAAAACTAACCTTTTTTGTAGTTTTTCAAAGACTATAGTCGGAATATTCTGTGCTCTTTGCACAGTAACCGGCTATTCTTGTTTATTTTAAAAAATAAAGAAAATTACTCAGAAACAAACAATCAATTTTCATTTTCGGGCCTAGATATTAATTATTCAAACATTATGAAGCTAAATAAACTTGGCTTTTTCTTATACTGCGCAGAAACAACAGATAAAATGTTTCAATAATTATTACATAGGCCCGATAATTAAAATTAATTGTTTAAGTTTTTGTTTAGGCCCGTTAATTTTTTAAACTTATTATTAAAATAAACAAGGAAAGCCGGTTACTGTGCACAGAATATTCCGACTATAGTCTTTAAAAAACTACAAAAAGTTTTGTTTTCAAATATGTGTTTTTTCTGCGTGATGTGATAGAAAGATCTGACGTAAAGCTATAATTTAGGCATATTCGACAGTCATAGTAATATATGTCAAAGCACATTCTATCAAAAAACCGCAAAAACACCACCATAAGTGGTACCATTATTTTCGACTTAGGTTGGAAAAAAATAGTCATACTATTACGCTACGCAACCAATTGTCAAAGTTTCAACCCTGTATGTGAAGTAGTTGTGGAGAAAACATTCGTTCATTCGACCAAATGATAATGAAAAAAGTTTTTTTTTGTCCAGTAACTGCAGTTCCTTCAGTTACAAGCCTAAATATGGTTATTGCTGATACTGGAAATCGAACATATTTATTCAACCTCACTGGTGTGAAAAAGTTTTCCCGTTTTCACTAGCTAGGATAACACCAAAAGTCAAAATAACCTGTATTGCAAAGTGAAGTGGACTTTTGGATGTCAACTGTTTCGACTTCAACCTCAGATTGGCCACGTGTGCTGGAATGCCATTTTTGGATATTATCTCACAATTTGCCAGAGACTGAGCCACATTTTTGGACCTAGGAGATGCTGCAAGTCGATCCGGGAAAATAAACAGCCGCTCCTGGGTAATGCCCAGCTTCAAGTACATTGCTAGATCTTTTTGGGATCCGTAAGCTGCGAAGTACGTCAGGTCTAAATTTTCTTTCAGTTGCTTCAGTAGATTAGCCTTCTTCGTCATGTTTTTCTCCGGGGTACTAAGTCCCTCTACAAACAGACAGATAGACGGCGGGAACCCATGAGCGTCCAGCCAGCTCTTCACTCGCTCCTTCATGATGTTGGGTCTGGCACTGGCATACACCACCAGGTATCCCAGTGCACTCCAGAATCTAACCAACTCCACCGAAGAACTGCGAAGCTTTGAATTGGAGCCTGCAAAAAGTCTCAAAAATTTTCTTATCTTCGTCTTGACAAAAGATCACTTTAAAAAAAAACGTGACAAATAAGACAACTGAAAGTTACATTTCGAACGAACCAAAACGGTAACAAAGCTGACAATTTATGAGCAGAAACAGTTAATACAAAAAATATAGAAAAGAGCAATGAATGCAAGTAAACAGAAAAAAGAACAATTTGCTGAAAAAATTTCATCTTTCGAAAATCTGAGAAAAAAAAGATGCCCCTGAAGCTTTTTGAAATTCTAGAAAAACTTATGGCTGGCACTTTTTTGATAACACAAACCTAACTTGACAAAACTGGACCAATAAAAAAGTTTTATTCCGCTGGGAACCTAAAAATTAAATACCACTTTCGAAACTAGAAATTTTTCATGTTTTTCGCGCCACTTCGTATTTGAAGAGTACTATTTACGTACCTTTTTTCAGATGAAATTCAATCAAATTCAAAAAGCGCATATATAAATAAAGGCATTCAAAAATGTATTAAAATGTATGAATCCACATCTGTAGTTATTACAGCAAATTACGACTTTTTCCTGAAAAAAAATCAAAAAGACTTGGTATGTTCATTACTCTTAAAAACCTCCCTTAAAAATCATTAAATTACCTCCTCAAAAAACTCACACGCAAAAAAAACAGTTTCGCACATCCAACAAGAAAATACGCCGATTAGGCATAAAAAAAACAAAAAAACAATAAGCCTAAGAAAAAACGTTGCCATGAAAAACTATATTTTCTATTAACAAATTTAGCAATGTGCGCGCTCCTGAGGTGAGCATGAAACTTTTTGATTCCCTTGAAACAAATAAAAATTAGGTCACTAAGTCAATAAAAAAACAGCCGAAATTATTTGGGCAAAACAATATTTTAAGCAAAAAAACAGCCAACAGACAGTTGAAGATTCATGAACACAAAGAAACAGAAAAAAGTATATGACATTAAATCTTTTTGAACTTCAAGAACAATTTATGATTGACACTTTTTTGATAAAGCTTACCCAATTTTAAAATAAGAAGTCGATCATGTTTTTTGTTACCTTTTTACTTTTCAATAAAGAAAATGAAGTGAACTTGTAAAGATTTTCTCAAGCTAAAATTTGATTTTTCATGGTTTGAATTTTGATTATTTCTATTTCATCAAGAACTAGAAAAATTACCAAGACCTATATAAGAGCATTCATTACGTTCATGACTCTTGAAAAAAAGAAGGAAAAATACGAAGTCAGGACTAGTTAAATTACGAAGAGCAAAAATCAATCAAAACACTTGAAGCAAAAAAAAACTTGCGTACAGCAAAACAAAAAACAATTCAACGATGTGCCAATTAAGCCGACAAAACATAAGCAAACAAGCACCATGCCAAATTTTTTTTTAAAACGGAAAATTTCTGGTTCGAAAAAAAACAGGACTTTTCATCAGATTCGAACCCACGACCTTTGCCGTCCTAGGCGTAATCGTTACCACCAGACCAAGTGTGCCGGAGACGTAAAGAAGTTTAAATTCAATATGAAATGACTCTAAATTTACCATACATAATGTTGACAATTCTGTCAACAAACAAACTTACGGGATAAAACTCTAAAAAACAGTTAATACACCCCTGCTTATCGCAAGGGTGAGTAGAACGGGTACTTGAAAAGCAAATAAGCTCAAATAGGGTCTGTTCTCTCGGTTGAATGAATGTAGATTTGAGAAAAAGATTCAGAGATCCTGTTGGGTACGTTGTTTACACAACCAGTCTACTTTACAAATGATATGGCAAAACAGTCTTTTATTTTCAAAAACACTTTAGGCGTGACGCTTTTTTGATAAAATTCACCCAATTTGAGAAAACTGGATCAAGATACAACTTTTTAACTCCGCTTGGAAATCTGATTATTTAATTCCACTTTCAAAAATAGAAGACAATCACGTTTGTGACCTTTTTACGTTCTCTGTTCGAAAGCTGACTTTGGTTTCCTTTGAATAAGGAAATTGAAGTGAACTTCTAAAGATTTTCCCAAGCTAAGTTTTGACTTTTCAAGGTTTGAATTTTGATTATTACTATTTCACCAAGACCTAGAAAAATTACCAAGACCTAAATAAGAGCATTCATTACGTTCATGACTTTTGAACAAACAGAAGGAAAAACACGAAGTCAGGGCTAGTAAAATTACAAAGAGCAAAATTAAATCAAAACACTTGAAGTAACAACAAATAATCTTGCGAGCAGCAAAAAAAGAACAATTCCACGATGTGCCAATTAGGCCGACAAAACATAAGCAAACGATCACAAATCAGAAATTTTTTTTAAACAAAATTTCTCGTTCGAAAAAAAACAGGACTTGTCATCAGATTCGAACCCACGACCTTTACTGTCCTAGGCGTACGCGTTACCATCAGACCAAGTGTGCCGGAGACGTAAAGAAGTTTAAATTCAATATGAAATGACTCTAAATTGACCATACATAATGTTGACAATTCTGTCAACAAACAAACTTACGGGATAAAACTCTAAAAAACAGTTAATACACCCCTGCTTATCGCAAGGGTGAGTAGAACGGGTACTTGAAAAGCAAATAAGCTCAAATAAGGTCTGTTCTCTTGGTTGAATGAATGTAGATTTGAGAAAAAGATTCAGAGATCCTGTTGGGTACGTTGTTTACACAACCAGTCTACTTTACAAATAATATGGCAAAACAGTCTTTTATTTTCAAAAACACTTTAGGCGTGACGCTTTTTTGATAAAATTCACCCAATTTGAGAAAACTGGTTCAAGATACAACTTTTTAACTCCGCTTGGAAATCTGATTATTTAATTCCACTTTCAAAAATAGAAGACAATCACGTTTGTGACCTTTTTACGTTCTCTGTTCGAAAGCTGACTTTGGTTTCCTTTGAATAAGGAAATTGAAGTGAACTTCTAAAGATTTTCCCAAGCTAAGTTTTGATTTTTCAAGGTTTGAATTTTGATTATTACTATTTCACCAAGACCTAGAAAAATTACCAAGACCTAAATAAGAGCATTCATTACGTTCATGACTTTTGAACAAACAGAAGGAAAAACACGAAGTCAGGGATAGTAAAATTACAAAGAGCAAAATTAAATCAAAACACTTGAGTAACAACAAATAATCTTGCGTACAGCAAAAAAAGAACAATTCCGCGATGTGCCAATTAGGCCGACAAAACATAAGCAAACAATCACAAATCAGAAATTTTTTTTAAACAAAATTTCTCGTTCGAAAAAAAAACAGGACTTGTCATCAGATTCGAACCCACGACCTTTACTGTCCTAGGCGTACGCGTTACCACCAGACCAAGTGTGCCGGAGACGTAAAGAAATTTGAATTCATTATGAAATTACTCCATATTTACCATACATAAAGTTGACAATTCTGTCAACAAACAAACTTACGGGATAAAACTCTAAAAAACAGTTAATACACCCCTACTTATCGCAAGGGTGAGTAGAACGGGTACTTGAAAAGGAAATAAGCTCAAATAAGGTCTTTTCTGTTCGTTGAATGATTGTAGATTTGAGAAAAAGATTCAGAGATCCTGTTGGGTACGTTGTTTACACAACCAGTCTACTTTACAAATGATATGGCAAAACAGTCTTTTAATTTCAAAAACACTTTAGGCGTGACGCTTTTTTGATAAAATTCACCCAATTTGAGAAAACTGGATCAAGATACAACTTTTTAACTCCGCTTGGAAGTCTGTTTATTAAATTCCACTTTCAAAAATAGAAGTCAACCACGTTTGTGACCTTTTCACGTTCTTTGTTCGAAAGCTGTGTTTGATTTCCTTTGAATAAGGAAAATGAAGTGAACTTTAAAGATTTTCTCACGCTAAGTTTTGAATTTTCATGGTTTGAAGTTTGATTATTACTATTTCATCAAGACCTAAAAAAATTACCAAGACCTAAATAAGAGCATTCATTGCGTTCATGACTTTTGAAAAAAAGAAGGAAAAATACGAAGTCAGGACTAGTAAAATTACGAAGAGCAAAAATCAATCAAAACACATGAAGCAAAAAAAATAAACTTGCGTACAGCAAAACAAAAAACAATTCAACGATGTGCCAATTAAGCCGACAAAACATAAGCAAACAAACACAAAGCCAAAATTTTTCGTTCGAAAAAAAAACAGAACTTGTCATCAGATTCGAACCCACGACCTTTACTGTCCTAGGCGTAAGCGTTACTACCAGACCAAGTGTGCCGGAGACGTAAAGAAATTTGAATTCATTATGAAATTACTCTATATTTACCATACATAAAGTTGACAATTCTGTCAACAAACAAACTTACGGGATAAAACTCTAAAAAACAGTTAATACACCCCTACTTATCGCAAGGGTGACTAGAACGGGTACTTGAAAAGCAAATAAGCTCAAATAAGGTCTTTTCTGTTCGTTGAACGATTGTAGATTTGAGAAAAAGATTCAGAGATCCTGTTGGGTACGTTGTTTACACAACCAGTCTACTTTACAAATGATATGGCAAAACAGTCTTTTAATTTCAAAAACACTTTAGGCGTGACGCTTTTTTGATAAAATTCACCCAATTTGAGAAAACTGGATCAAGATACAACTTTTTAACTCCGCTTGGAAGTCTGTTTATTAAATTCCACTTTCAAAAATAGAAGTCAATCACGTTTGTGACCTTTTTACGTTCTTTGTTCGAAAGCTGTGTTTGATTTCCTTTGAAAAAGGAAAATGAAGTGAACTTCTAAAGATTTTCTCACGCTAAGTTTTGAATTTTCATGGTTTGAAGTTTGATTATTACTATTTCATCAAGACCTAGAAAAATTACCAAGACCTAAATAAGAGCATTCATTGCGTTCATGACTTTTGAAAAAAAGAAGGAAAAATACGAAGTCAGGACTAGTAAAATTACGAAGAGCAAAAATCAATCAAAACACTTGAAGCAAAAAAAAATAAACTGGCGTACAGCAAAACAAAAAACAATTCAACGATGTGCCAATTAAG